CACTTGGTAGTCCAGGCTGGCCTCGAACTCACAGAGATCCACCTGGCTCTGCCTCCCAAGTGCTGGGATTAAAGGCGTGCGCCACCACCGCCCGGCTGATCTATATCCATCTTAAAAGAAAAAATAGTTGCCTATCATTTCTATCCATATTCAAAAATTTCAACTTGATGTTTAGAAAATCTCCTGCTGCAAGCCAAAGTATTAGGTTATAAACATTATATATGACTATAAACTGGCAAGGTCATAATAATCTGTCCCCTCTTTCAAATTTCATGTCATCACAGGATGTGGTTTATACAGGGTGTGATCCACATCCTTGCTCTTCAAAATCATTTCCAAGATTACATAAGTGACTTCTAGAAATCTGTAAGGGAAATCCTTTATTTAACTGAGCTTGGCAGATGTCTTCATGTGGGGAGTGTATTTCTCAGATAAATATGGAATATCAATCATAAGACTGATGATGGTTACTCACCCAGAAAGAGTCCACTGATCATGTCTCTTCCAGGGAGCTATCATTTGGGAAAGGAGATACGGTCTACATCCTCAGGAAAATTGACCAGAACTGGTATGAGGGGGAGCACCATGGAAGAGTGGGCATTTTTCCAATCTCCTACGTAGAGGTACGTCCTTTCTCCTCACCTCCAGAAGGATGCTGGCCCAAAGGTTATCACAGGTTTAAGAACCAGTAACTGTTCTCTTTATAGAAGCTAACACCTCCAGAAAAAGCGCAGCCTGCCAGACCACCGCCCCCAGTCCAACCTGGAGAGATTGGAGAAGCCATAGCCAAATACAACTTCAATGCGGACACAAACGTGGAACTCTCTCTGCGAAAGGTAACCTGGCTGTGTTCTTCATTGGGGTGTTTTCACTGACTGCAATTCTGAACCCAAGATGGGTTACCCTATTTTCTAGAACACCCTAGGGTTTCTTTAGTTTCTGCAAGGGACTCAGGATTGCTCAGGATCACTGTTATCTCTGGCCTCTGTGTCCCTTCCAAAGTGGGGTCCCTGTGAGACACAGAACTCTGAGAGTCTGTCTGTGGCCTAGCCTAAGAAGCAAGATCCTAAGTCCCCTCTTTAGGGGTACCTTGACTGGATACTAAGGAGCACACATATGGGACCCCAAAAGGAGAATGCATTTCAGTTAGTTAGGATGCATTTTAGAATGCATAGAGAATGCAATGTGAAGAAAACACTTCAAACTGTCTTTATACTGCTCATTACCCAATTTTAAATGGGTATCCAATATTTACTTTTCTCTACCTTGGAATCAAGGAATGGTCTTAAAGTAATGAAAATACATCCTCTCTAAAAGCCTTTTTAAGGAGCCATCTGTACAGTCCTGTTTTCTTTTGATCATTCTCCAGGCCTCGTGATGGGTCCAAATCTCTCGCAAGCTATCCAAGTAATTAGTCTGGTGAAGTGAGGGCGGTTCAAGTCTGCAGGAGATGGTCTAGTTTTCTCCTCCCATTCCCAGTTCTGAATCATCAGCGATTCTCTCACTTTCCATGTGCACAACCTAACACAGAAAACTGCACATAATGTGCCATCTTCTGTCCTATACTTTAAAGACAGGCTGCTGTGTGAAATACCCCAGGAAGGCCTCACTATCTACTGCCTGTTCTGGGCACATTAGAAAATGGGTGCAATTTTGAGATTTGGGGAAAATTCACTTTTCTTTGGTGTCCTCCACTCGGTGGTTCATGGGCACATGTAGCAAGCCACCCAGCACTTTGAGTTAAAGAAAACTTTCAATGTGCTGGCATTGAAAGGGCTGCCTGCTGTGCTGAAGTTCGTGAGTAAAGGTCACCTCCATAACGCTATCAGATCCAGTTCCCCACAGCTCTAGAGCACCTTCCAGCTGCACCTGCTGGGTTTGCTCTCTAGCAACAGCTTGCTAACCTTGTTCTGGCCTTCCTGTGGTTTTGAGTCAAGAGTTAGATAAAGTTATCTAGCATTGGCCCACTCATTGCCGGAGGCATAATAGTGATTAGAAATGTCTACTATTGCAAAAGCCAAAGATTCTATTCAGAGGGCCAGAATGGCAGAGCCACTCACCAGCTAGAATGGATGCTGGTGTTACACTGTCCCGATGAGAGCAGGGGGATGTTAGCCCACTCCGCAGCTATGGATGTTCTGGGTTACCATCTTTGCCCCATGCTCTTCATTCTGAAGAAACACTTTCTTCTTCCTGCAGATCTGGTCACATTGATGCTAGTAGAGATTAGGTGGGGCTACTGCCATTGAGATGACATCTCTCACACCATCTGCCTTTGAAATAACTTCCACAAGTCATTTTACTTCGCACCAGTATGAAACATGTATAAGCCCATTCCCATTAACAACCGAGCATCCTTATAACCCTAATGTCATGAATGGGAGGCTTATGTGCATCCATGCGGACAATCTATGCTTTTCTAATAAACACTAGAACCTTACTTGCATTCTTCTGATTAAGCAAAAATCGGGAGGTATAAAATTTTTCCAAATAGAAAACTACTGTTCTATCAGAAAACAATGACAATTATGCTTTTTATATTACTGTGTCTCTACTTATAATGCATTTTCCCAATGCTCATTACAGGGCGATAGGATTATTCTTCTTAAAAGAGTTGATCAAAACTGGTATGAAGGGAAAATCCCAGGAAGCAACAGGCAAGGCATCTTCCCAGTTTCCTATGTAGAAGTCATCAAGAAGAATGCAAAAGGTGCCGAAGACTACCCCGACCCTCCTCTACCCCACAGCTACTCTAGTGATAGAATTCACAGCCTAAGTTCCAACAAGGTAAGGAGCCATCCTATCACGTTAACTCTGAACTTGGGATCTCGGAATAGTAATAACCAGTGGGTGATGGGGGTATATCAGAGCATCATATCTATTGAAAAGAAACAAATGCATATATCATATTCATATACATGAGTTCCAGATCAGAAAATAAGTTCATTTTCCTCAAATAGATGCTGGGATAAAGGTTTAGTGCTTAGTTTTGCTAATTCAGTTTTCAAGTTTAAGTGCATAAAGAGAAAGAAAATGTTATTATCATCATATATCTCTGTATTTTGGTGTTTATACATTATACACACACATACATACATACATACATACATACATTCATACATTTACCCCTAAATTGTGTATCATTATATAATTACTAGGTGTACAATAGTCTATGAAAGTCTTAAGGCACCTTCTACATAACATAAGACATTTTTAATTTAGGGCCTATAATTTTTGCACAAAAATATGGTAGTATATTAGAAATATTCACAGTTTTTTTCATTAGTTTTAGGTCCATAGATTCCACTGATTCACTTAAGCTGGTAACTAAAGATGATTATTTTCATCAATGCAATTTAGAAAGGACTTTCCCTCCTGAATGGTTTGTTAGATTAAGGCTAACCTCCTACCTCCCTTACTCCCAAAATATTTTTCCTCATTTTTCTGTTGAGTTATAAGATATTTTATGGGTGCATGTAGGGATTTCTTTCTCCTTTACAGTTATTTTAAAATATAAAAAATTTAAATCACAAGGGAATGATTTCCAAAACGTTGTCAGGTGCCTCCCAATGTGAAAAATGATGTATTCGGTTGTATAATATGTCAACTGTTTTAGTTGAGATCAAGGCAAAAATGTACATAAACAGACCATTAACATTGTGAAAGGGTGCAGTCAAGATCACTTTCAGACAGCTTCCCCAGGGACCTACGCCACTCTACCTAGTCAGTAAATAGCCCATGAATAGTAAATAATGTATGGATCTATCTCAGTTGAGATATTTTCCTTCAAAAAGTCTTAATATTTGTCATTTTATTCATTCTAATCCTCCTTGAAGACTGGGTTTTAGTCCGTGGGTAATTCCTCAAAAGTCCCTATCACTGAGTAGCTGAGCACTTTACATCAGTTTGTTTATGGAGGTCCTAGAATTTAACACTTAGAGATCAACATCCTTCCTTCAGTAGTTTCTATTGATAACAGGGAAATATAAGAATCTTCACCCATCCACATGTGTTTTGCTATCCTCCATTCACCTTCAAAGAACTATTAGATGGCTCTCAAGTGATGGAAGCTTAAGATAAACTGATGCAGGAGGAAACAGCATGTAGCTACAAATGCTTACTTAGCACCAAAGAACTTCTCCCATGTGCTTTAATTAACAATGGCAGGCTAATAGTTTAAGTCCGTGTTTTTGGATTTTTCTCTGAATATATTTTCAATGCCATTCATGGTTTTTGTTGTAATACCACATTTTAAACAGAGGAATGTATTAGTTTCACTAGTTGCCAACTGTCTTCTTCTTATTGTCCAAAAAAAATGCATGTTGAAGTTGATATCCATAATTTGAAAGAAACTCTAGTTTCATTTCAACTGGTTATCTACCCTATGATGTCATTGGCTTAAGGAAGGAAATTTCTGTAGTGTTGCCCTGGTCAAATTTCAGACAAAGAAATAAGCCTTTTTAAATAGTGAGATACAAAAGCAGCAGCCGGGTACAGCTCCCGTTTTTCTGACTGGCACTTGCAAATAGAGAATGGGATGCGTTAATGACATTTGAATCACTCTGGCAAATTCAAATCACATAGCTTGACATATTTCTATTTTGAAGAAGGGTTAAATGTAAGTTGCTATTATTTCTGATTTTGGCACAATAGAATCCAGTTCCAATCCTTGTTTAAGATGAATTAACCTGTTAAGAGTACTCACTGCTCTTCCAGAGAGGACCCTGGTTCAATTCCTAGCACCCACATGGCAGCTCACAACTGTCTATAACTCTATTTCTAGGGGCCCTGACACCCTTCACACAGACATACATTCAGGCAAAACACCAATGCATGTGAAATAAAAAGAAATAAGTTATTTTTAAAAAGACGAAGTAGCTTTCATTTTGTGTTATAGGTATGTTTTGTGATATAGGTACTCCTTAATCAAAATTAACACTTCATGTGACCTTTGGTATTATCAAGTCCATTTTTAAGTGTTTGTTTTTTTGGCCTTTTAACATGTATAGAGGTGACATGGGGCAGTGATTGTAAAGTTGGTAGGAGCAGATCACGATAGGGACTATGGTTGCAATGATGATGATGAAATTTAGAGATTCCTCCTGCACATAACATTTCTGTCCACCCGAGGAAAAACATAAAGGTATTCACCTTGAGTTACTATCAGTTTCACTCATTTCCAAAATCTAAGTACTAAGATCAAATCTTGCACCTTTGTGTCGGTCACAAGAAGTGTAAAATAGAATTTTAGCCAGGAAGAGAACTTCCATTGACTCTCAAATGAGACTTGACCTACAGGACCGGAGCAGCTGTCGGCTCATCACAAAACACATGCACAGTAGGACTTCATGTCAGTGCCCAAGCAGACTTGGATCTTGTGTGAAGATGCTCACAGGGCTGTGTTATGCTTGGTGCCGTTTGCGACACCCTGTGAGGAGATTCCATCGGATGCCCCTTAAAATCTAAATAAGTGCTCCATCCTCCAACAGAACACTTTAGATCAATTATTCAGTGGGGGATACTGAGCAGTTAGACATAGCGAAGCCCATGGCTAAGAGGGCACTGGCTGTGTGTGTGAAGTCTTATTCTGAACCGTCAGCCAGAACATGCATCTCCAGCAACCTTTGCCAGAAGACTGTTTGCCTCATAAACCAAAGTCAGCTATCTAGAAAACACTAAAGGTCATCTACAGCCTCTTTCATGGCCTTTGGATGCACAATATAAAGCACTGCTTTTCCTCTCTAGCAAGGGTGGAGCAGGATAAATTACAAATTACTCAGCAACCCTTCTAGAAGTACTTCTTTTGAATTGCATTTGTTGTTTTATTTTAAATATTCAAATTATATCATTAATATGCAAATATAAAGAATGATCTTTTGGCTTCAGAAGACCCAGATTCATAAATTACATTCTTTGGGCTTATATAAAATATCAGGCTTAGAAGATGACTGCATCAGCATCTCATGTCTCCTCCTGTGTGAACATTTACTTTAGAGTGGGTTTTTTTTTGTTTTGTTTTGTTTTGTTTTGTTTTTTCAAACTTTGAAGCAGTGGTTTCGCAAGATTGGTTTCATTCTGATCACGGGGCTCTATGATTAAGAGATACGTTTTTAGCGCTTATTCCCTTAAACATGTGTACATGTATACTAATCAAAAATATTTTATGCCATGTAAATGGGACAACTGTAAAAACTCAAAGGAGTGAGAACCTCTGCAGGGAGGGAGAATGGTAAATAAACCCAGGGATTGAAACAAAGCTTAGTTATGTGATATTATTCTGTGCTAACCATCCTCAGATACATCTGAAATATAGATAAGAGCCTATGTAGTCTCAGACAGGTAGATTAATATTAAGCTTCTTGGGGTTTCACTATCTGCCCTCTTGATCTCTATGAAGCTCTGCCTCCTCTTTTGATGCTTAACATATCTTCCATAACTAAGAGAGTCCGGTTGCTCAAGTAAGGTCTACAGGTAGTCTAAATGATTTTATGCATTTAAATTTCAAAAATCGAGATATCTTCCAAGTATCTTCCATCTATGTTCCATCCATGCCTGTGCTGCAGTCCAAAACTGTATTCATCACCACACCTTTTCCATATTTCCCTGTTGTCGTATTTTCATGTGTTATTATTTTCTTTCTTTGTTTTACTTCATAACTCCTGCTCATTTCTAAGCTGGCTTCCAGTGAACAGTCCTGTCTTCCTATGTGCAATGCTCTGCCCGGCACAGAGAAAGAAGCCCTCCAGGGGACTGGCCAAGAGTGCCTATCTCTCACAGACTGGTGTCCACCAGCAAACCCATTGGCCCCGACACCATCCTCTTCCCTTGACAACTTCTTGGTTGAATTAGAGAAGTTCAGTGCTTTAACCTTACCATCTGACCAGGCCAAAGCGAACACCCTAAACCAGGTCATCCTTGAAATTAAGGAGGAGCCCTCTCATCTCCCCCTCTCACTGCCTCCAGCATCTCTACCAGTCAAATCACCTCGCTGTCTGTTACCGTCTCCTCACTCAAATACCAACTCAGCTGGGGCCCAGAATGATCATACGGTGTCTCTTCAGAATCCCACAACGGACACTCAAAGCAAATTTATAGATTTGAATAAAAAGAGAAGGGGCTTTTCAAACCCTACCAAAATCCTTGAAGTCTTAGGCGATAAATTTGTGGCCTCTGCGTGCACCAACGTGGGTGCCTTGCCTATAACTCTTCCTGCCATTGGAGAGGAAGATGAGGAAATCTGTAAGGGGCTTGAATACCAAAGATGGCTGCCAAGATCTCAAGAGCAAGATACCATGTGGTATGACCACAAGAGTGCAGAGGTGACACCACAACTATACATCAAGGAAGAAGAAGAAGAGGAGGACTATGACTGCTTAAAACATTCACTAGGCATTCGCACACATCCTAGGATTCCCAAGGAAGACATCAATGCAGCAAAACCCAGTAATGAGGTATTTAATTTTGCCTAATTACTGGGGACTAGCCAGTTTTACAATTAGCCAGAAGAGTTAATGATATCACTAAATATCTGCTTCGGACACTGCCTTAACAGGCTTCCTTATGAGGAATAGAAGCATTGGAAATTCTGGGGTGGAAGGAAGATGCAAACACACATAGTTTATTAAAGTGATAGAGATTTGTATGGTACAATTCCACTCTTTCATTATTCCTTTGTCACTATAAATTTAACTTTTATACACTGAAGCTTATTGTCTTCCTAATATTCTAATATTAATAATGATAGCTAATATCGAACTCAGTGTCAGGTGCTATTCTCAGAACCCAACATCTTGAATTTTCAAAACCCAGAGAGCTAGGAAATATGGTTATCCCCACGCCAGAGATGAGGAAGCCAATGGGTAGACAGGTTTGTCTGAGTCTAAGATGAGAAAACAGTACCCTTTGACAAGATGGCAGTCTGAAAAACAGAACAATGAAGGAAATAAAGCAAAATGTCAAACAACTGAAATAGTTCTTCGGTCCCCTTTTGACTCTTCTGGGGCGGTTGTTTTCTTGAGGTTGGTAGCTACTTGTAATCCGGGTCCTTCCTGCAACTTTGCCTTACAAAGGACCTTGGGCAGTAGTTTCCATCAATAAAGGGAGGACATAATCCAAACCTTAAGTTTATGAACTTCTCTCTTAAAAATAAACTAGTTGATATCCCAAATGTGAATTATCTAAATTCAAGAGCAAGTAAAACTACCTATAAATTCTGAGATTTTTAAATAAAAAAGGAAAGCCTGTAGTATATTAAGTCTTGGTGGCATTACATAAGTCATTCCTTCCATGATTCCTCTATTTCCAAATAACCAGCCACGACTTTGTAGAAAACAAACCCACTGCTTAGTGACAGAGAGAATTCACTGTAATAAGCCAAGCGTGCAACTAAGTCTGTTGTCTAAACATCAAGTTTCCCCTTCAATATTACCATTTTGAAGGTATGATTAGACCTGTGGTTTCATTTGCAGGATGTGCTACCTGCGTGTTTCAGACAGGATCCTACACATAGCATTCATCCTACTGCAAAACTGTAGCTTTGCAGACAGTTCACTCTGTGCTCAGAGAAGTTCCAACTCTCCTAGCTGTGTGACAGTTTACCTTACTTTAACCAACTTTACAGGCAAGTTATATGTCATTAGGTACTTTCCTGCTATCTTGTTGAGGGGGTGGAAAGCCCTCACAGACGAGATGAATAGATGCAGACACCGTTATCTCCAGCCACCCACACTCCCCAAATCATACTCATTGAGATTTTTGAAATTAAAATTCAACAGGCTAAGTCAGTGCTTTCAAAGCAAGAACACATCAATACCACTTTCACCAAGATATTTTGCAATTTTCAAGTTATTAGATGTGGAAAGTACTCTCTTAAGACCAGGTCCCTTCACCTGGACACAATCATAATCACATCTTGTCTTTCCTCAACATTTAAGCCATCTTCATTTGCTTCGGGAGATCGAACTGCTTCGTCTTTCCCCAGCTGTCCATTTCCCTCCCCTCCGTTTCATTCTCCTATGGCCTCTGTCTCTGACCTGGCCTGTGAGCTCTTTCAGCCCACCCAGGCCTCCTCACCTCCTCTCCTCCCCAAATACCCTCATCAGCAGGAGATAAGTTCATCAAAATCCAAGGTAACTGCATCTTGAGTGTGGTTCAATTTATTGCATGTCTTTCCATGATGTTCAGTAGATGTATGCATTTAGATTCATGCCGTCTTACAAGATCTAAGAAGTTACGTAACTTGTGACTGCTAACTTTTAACATCAGCAGCATGGCCTCCATCCCAAAATTTAATAGACAAGTCCACATATCAACTACACCCATATTGAGAAGGAAAACCTAAAATTTACTTCATGATCAAAAGTAACCACTACCTTCTGTTTTAAGCTTCAAGTCAGCTTGGGAGCCATCATGTGTAGAGGCATAAGCTCAGTGCCTGCCAACCCCAGTCACTTCTCAGTAGACATGGTGCCTCCCAACATTTCACCCATCAGCAGGTTCACAGAGCCCAAGATTGGGGTGGTCCTTGACATTATTCATCTGGAGCCCTGGTCTTCCACAGGATACACCAAGGATAATTTTTTGGTGCTGGCCATAAAGCATCCATCTCTAATACTGTGCAGTCCAACAGCCCAACTGGTACTTAACTTTTCCTAGGATACCACTTTTAAATGAATGATTGGTCTTTTTTTAAAAAAAAAAATGATATTGACAATCCAAGAGGAAATCAATCTGTCACAGAAAAGTTTTGATTCTAGAGTTAAGAGTGGTCCCAAAATCTTTCCCTTTAGCCTTCAAACAACAGCTTATCCTCAGACTCCATCTTTTGAAAGTGAAGCAAGGGTCTCTGTAGATAAGGAAGGAGTTAAAGCTGGGACGCAACCACGTTTCAGTAGAGTAAGCACCAGTCCTACATCCAGCATCCCCAGTGGTCTTCAGAATCCCCATCACCATAAAATGACACAGCCCATCTATGTGATACTGCTCCAGGTGTGAAAAGAGATCTTGGGAGGAAAGAATAACGTACTTTAAAGACCAATTTCTCTCCACTCTGTTTTCATCTTAGCTAGCAAAAGATCATTAAAACCTTTTAAGAACTATAATGCTACTTTAGATCATGTCTAAGGCTAAGAAGTGCCTTGTACCCCTCTTTCTGTAGCTCTATTTTTAAAGTCAATATAAAGCTTAATCAGTACATGAGAAAGTACTTCTATAGCAATGTTCTCAACCTTCCTAATGCTGAGACCCTCATGTTGTGGGGACCCCCAACCATAAAATTATTTTCATTGCTACTTCATAACTGTGATTTTACTAGCATTATGAATTGTAATTTAAATATCTGATATGCAGGCTATCTGATATGTAACTCCCAAACCTGTCATGACTCACAGGTTTAGAACCACTGCTCTAGAATCCTAGCTCTCTAACTTAGAGAGATGTTGAACTTATCATTATAATAACAAGGAAAAAAGTAAAATTTAAAGGGGTTTATCTCTGCCATAAGAGCCAAGATGATTTCATATAGTCTTTTAGGATCAATGTTTCTAGAATCATATGGGAGACTAGAAGTATTCACAATAACTTTATTTTAAAGAGTCATTTTAATATCTATATGAAATGACTAGTTTCAGGAAAGCAAATGTTTGTTTCTTGTATTTATCCCATATTTAGGAACAAATGTTGAACATTAATCCCCTGCTGAGCTTTCTAAACCTTGTAAATCTATCTCATACTCATAAGAAGAATATAAGTTGACTGAACAAATCTGTGTTTGTAAATACGAAAACAAACTGATTCAGTCTCAGATCTCATATTCATTACAAGGAAAGAAAGCATTGGCACAAAAGAAAAAAATGTTTTAATAGGCATAGAACAGTATACCTAAAATTGTTATAGTAACATTTTTATCAACCCATATCAACTATTCTGTAGCTCTCATAAATGAGAGAGAGAGAGAGAGAGAGAGAGAGAGAGAGAGAGAGAGAGAGAGAGAGAACGCACATCCCATGCCAGCATGGTGGTTCCACGGGTATCAGAAACCTGGACCGTCTCAAAATTTGCTGTTTCCTCTTTCAGAAATGTCATATGAGCACAGATAGGTACGAAGAAGTTTAGGAGCTGTAGTCTGCTCTCAAGGACCCTGTGCATGCATGAGTGGAGACAAAAAATAGCAATGGATACTGAAGAGCATCAAGCATCCTCTTCCACAGCCTTAGACAAGCGTGACAACCATACACCATCCCAAGAGACTAGAGATCATGACCACTAATTTAGCCTAAGCTAGAGCTACAATCATTTTACTAATGGTCTCTTTATTCTAGTCAAATTCTAGACCCTGCATTGCTAGATCTTGACTGTCCTGGAATGAAAAATAAAGCTAACTCATGTAAAGATTCCCGTGTTGACTGTCATAGTGAAGATCCTACTTTGAGAGAATACCAAAGGAAACTGGAATCAGGCAATACGCAGTATTTGATTATATTCCACTACCTCCCATCCCCCACCCCCACCAAAAAAAATTCATTTTCTTCTTAGGAACTTCGTTAGAACACTTTTACCTCTAAGAACCTAATGCTTTCCCTAAAACTTGATAGGCAGTAAGCCCAATTTTCTCTTACCTCACCTTGTTTATTACTGCTTGCCACTTGGTAAATGCAAAGAAAACAGATAGGTTGAAGGGTGTTTTTGGATGCAGTTATTAAGCACTCTTAATAAGGAGGTAATATTTCTGATGCGGGTTCTTAGCCACACACATTACATTCAAACACATTCTCCTGGCCACTTCTCTCTCCACATCTTTTCTTCACCATGAGTCTCCCACCATAGCAGCAGCTGAGTCTGGAGGGCAGAGGCTGTACGGAGCAGGGAAGCTGTATGCGGACTGCTCCGCTAGTATTCATAAGCTTGGCATGCTGTGTGTGTGCATGGAAAACAAGCCAACCATGAAGGTTCCTCCTGAAGGCCACATAATGAAGATGAGAACTAACCCACTTCTTATGGCTTTTCTAGGCTGATTTAAAAAGCAAGACATTTGTCCTGGGTAAGCCGCCTCGTAGCCCAGTGATGTCTAAGCGGTCCTGCAGTTCACCTGACAGCAGTTCCCACAGGGTAGGGTCGGACACCCCCACCTGCCGCAGTCATCCTGGCCGCCCTGGCTCTTCCTTAGGTGCCTGTGCTGTGATTGGGCAGTAAAGTGAGGCTGGGGAGGAGTCCCTTGAGATGTAACGGCCAGTAGTTGAGGAGCTACAGGCTGTGTGCTTTCCCTGTTGTATGTGTCAAGTTTCTCAAATCCAAAACGATGCTATCAAATGCTTCCCTACGCAAACCGGAGCGCCGTGTGTGTGTGTTTTCTACATCTGTCTCCTTCCCATCTTCAATTGCTGCTCTCCAGTCATTGTTCTGAGTATGGAGAACTAAATTAAGTGTTGCCCGTTGTCTACCGAGCTCACCTGCTTCCAGTCCTGTCAGCTCCAGTGTCTCTCGGTTGCTATGGATGTATTTTCAACTGTGGGCCATTTCCTAATAGTCTGTTGCTCGGGAGATACATGCCGCGTTCTCTCCACGCTGCCCTCTGTAATGCTGCTGCTCTCTGGAGCCGGTGTGCTCCCAATTCCCTCACAACTTTGATTGAGCTTGGAGGTCCGTGGCCTCCCCTCTAACTATTCAATTCTGTAACATCTGCAGAACTTGAGAACCGATGGATTCTAAACGGCACCCTGAGCTCTGGGGAAGGCAGCCAAGGAATCTGGGGATTTCCACCTACGCATACCTCGGGGCTCCTTTCGCCGTGTCTAAGTTAATGGACCCTGATTTAGCTTTGGCTGGCCGGCCGGCCTCACAGCTATGCTCCGCATTTCGAGTTCTCTGGGCTTAATTTTTAGCGTTCTTTTTTCCATTTCATACGTGCAAATAGCGTTTTCTGTGTAAGGCGTTTTGTGTGTTGCTCTGTGTAGCCAGACCTACTTTTATTGTTGAAGACGACTTGTATTGCCATAGGCAGAGGGAAGTGTCAGCTTGTTGTAGATATCCTTAAGTCTCTACTGAACAGCCTACTAGAGCTAACACATATACTTGGGGGTGGAAGGAAGAGAGAGAACAGACAGGGACAGACAAAGAGTGAGTCAGTTCTACAAAAATTGATAGCTGTCATCCGTAAGTTCCCAGGGGTAAGATGACATGCTTTGAGTCACCTGAGGTTTTTCCCTTGCCCATCTTTCCATCTTATAAATTTGTGTCTTAGATTCAATATGTTTGAGGACCAAAAGATTCTCTTTTCTTTTGATTTATGCAGAGTGTGTTTCACCTTCGTAATCTAAGAGGGAAAATAGCCAATAAGCATAAGAATGGGATTGTTAGTTACCGGAGTGACAGCCAGCTAGTTCTGGCTAATATGTTCTACAGCTAGCATTTTCTGAGAAAGAATGGCTTGGGACCCAAGAGCTATTTTTAACGCTTGCGAAGTTCTTCCACATTTGTTTTTAAAGTAACAGCACATACTTTTTAAGGAATTCTCTAACATATAGCTAATTCTCCTGGGATAGGTTGAGAGAAGTATAAATAAAAACTTGACTTTTAAACTTCCATCTGCAATAGTGTATGTGGTCTACTGATCCCAGATTCTAGGATAGGTTTCAAACCAGCGTCATTGTAAGCAGGGGTTTATGATTGTTCCTGGCTGTGAAAAACAGCATGTGTTTAAAACCTGCCTCTTTTGTATGCATTTTTACATTGTATCCATTTTTACAAACATTTTTTAAAAAAGAAAAATCAAAGGATGTCGTATGTACTTATGAAAAAAATTTTAATGAAACTGTTGTTTTCATACAGTTAATACCCACAGTGACACTAAAAATAGAAAAAATAAAAAGTTAAATGATTAGGGTGCCATGAAAATAGCATGTATCATTGGATTTTCAAATTTTTCTTGAACTCTAAAGCCTCACGGAATAATATAATCAAAGTATAATTCTTGCTCAAATTGCCCTGTGTGGTAATGGCAACCTGTTAACTTGAGAGTCGACGTCTCAGACTCACAGTCTGTGTAAGCCTCTCCACATGCGCTAAGTGTATATCGTTCTGTATTTACCTTAGCAGTGCTGAGGCGTTATGCATGATAGAAACGCCTGAGCCGTTAAAATAGAAATGAACGCGGGCCGTAAACACCGATGCCAGCAAGTCATTTCTTCTCGAGAACTGAAAATGCAGGAAATGGGAGAGATCATGGTAGGAAAAACAGATCAATATCTACCCTGTGGGCTTCAGAATATCCTTTCACAATTAATCAACACTGAAGGAATTTGACCCACTTCAACCAAAGGCAAAGAACAACTTTTAACGTGTTATTACCACTGCTTGCCATTAGGTGGCAATAGAGGGCAGACACAGTAGCAAAGAGCATTCGGAAGCACTTTGCTTGAATACCCACGGGACACACGAACAACATCCGTACTAAGAACAAAACACAGGCGCTGACCTTAACCAAATTAGTCCATCTAGTCCGTCATAATACTTCGCTCAACATGGGGCTAGTTAATATTGTCCTTCCATCCCTTTTTAACATTTATTTGCCGTAGTAAACCACCCGATGTCTTCAGGTTTAGAGCTTAACTAACAAAAAGCGAGGGTGAATTATCTATCGCCACTGTGGTTTTCACATGACGAGGCTATATTAGCTAATTTTCTGTATAAGGTTGAGGACAGAACTCTTTCCATGGCAAAGGGAAGCTGTCAGGTGAAATATCTATTGCTTTATGGGCCCCATGAGGGGGCAAGATTCACCCTCATCATGTCTCACCCACTGATCTTAGGATGAGGAATCTGAGCTGAAGGTCCACAGGCTGATAGCAGACAGATGCCCATTCCTAAGTGACCATTAACGCTACCGTTCATCTAGCGGCCAAGACTTTGTAAACGATATCAACTCCAATACTGCAACTAGACGACTTTTTGCAGAAGCAGGCCACTAGTTATTAGTTCATCTGAAGATGATTCGTGTTAAAGAAAGGCTTTGAGATGTTTTCAAAAGTCACGCTCTTATGAGGTATACAACTTCTCTGTAGTAAAAGGGTTCTATTCTGGGCTGAGGATGTGAATACTGTGGGGGAAACTGATGGTTCAGGAGGGAAAAAGGAGGGGCCAAGGTTTGGAGGGTGTGAAGCAAGGGAAAAGACATGTTTTGAAAGATGATTAAAAGCCAGGAAATTTCTGGCTCACACCCACAGGAATTAAGTGACCCCCACACTTAGAGATACACCCCAGCTTCCCTGTCAAAGAGACAATTCATTTAAATAATTTTGGAAGCTGGAAAATCAAAGGTACTGAGCAAGTAAGAGTCTAATGTTGATACTAAATAATGGACTGTAGCCTTCAAATTATAGATCGCTTTAAGTTAACCAACAGATTGATTTAAAGTGGTATTCAATTGTTAACTTAGGGAATTAGAAAGGGACTGGAAATATAATACATACATATGGATGGCTTACACTTGCTTCTTCATATATTTAAATTGATTAATAATCTCTTTAATTACAAATCTCAAAAAATGTCTAGAGAATGGTTTGGTCTTCATTTTTTTTTTTAGACAGGCATTTCCTATGTAACCCTTGTAGGCTGGCCTTGAACTCACTAACTCCAGAGTGCTGAGATTAAAGGCATGCCACCATACCCAGCTTAGTCTTCATTATACTTAAAAATAATATAACTTATAACTTATACTTTTAATATTTTTTTTAATAATCTCACTTTATAATTTTAAATACCATTAGGAATTTTATACTGATTTATAGTAGTAAATCATCCTTGTGGCCATTTCATCTTCTCCGCTCTTTAAGTTTAAATTTATGTACTCTATGCATAAATGTTGAGTAAAACACTAGAAATACTGTTAATAAATGCTACCAGTTAATAGACTTAAAGCTTCAAGTTTTAGTAGTGAAAATACTTACTCTGCACTAAATAGACAATATGGATTGAAAGATAGTAGATAAATTCAGGATCAACAGACTCATGCTGAAGGGAATCCCAGGGTTCCCTCTCCATCCTTGGACCAGAAATTTCTATGGACAATTTCAGGGAAAATCTTCCTACATTATGATAATACATAATAATTATGTGTATCCAAGCACACTGGTCCTGATGTCTGAAGACATGGCCCGATAAACAACTAAATTCCATTATCATCAGAGTCCAGGATCTGACTAGTTATCTCACCAGGTAGCTATCGTTTCACAGAAAATGTTTGAAATGTGAATGGGTCGAATGTATCTATCTCCCAAAAACATAGCATGTAGATGATCAATGTCAATTACACTGAGTTTCCCATATTCAACAAATGTGTTAAAGTTCATTTTCTGAAGTATTTGTGTGGCTATTCAGGATGCTAAGGCTCGTCATTTCCAATATTATAAGTATCTATTACAGATACTGGTCTTGATGCTTAGTTTAAAAAGAAAGGAAACTCTTTTGAGAGTTCAGTGCACTGGGGATTTCTACCAATATTTCTCTTCTAAGGTAAAGCATTATATGTTTCCTGGATATTGTCCGTTGCATTCTTCTGAAAGTTCTCTGTCTCCCCCTTTGAAAACTGCATGTGCTTCCCTGCCCCACCCCTTACCCCACTGAGAGCGGAGAGTTGAAATTCAAATGCAGCATGGGATGTCTGGCTATTGACTTTCTCATCCATACCATATGTGGCAATGTCGTCGTCTGTGGAGGAAAAGCTCAGAGTGAATGTGGTTATTGCTCGACGTGGCTCCCTTCTTCTTGTCTGAGAGAGCGCTAGAGAATGAGGGTGAATGAAGGGTTCCAGACTCCCTGCTTCTGTGACTTAATGTCCTTGTTCTTGCCATATTCCTGACCTTGGAAAAATCAATGGGACTCAACCTTCCCTTAAAGCTGGAAGAGATCAGATTGTGGATGTGTTCAAAAGTTTTGAACCTTGGGTATTCTGATTCAAAGCACCCTTCAAAACACTTTAATTATTAAGAGCACAGAAACCCTTTATTTGGTGGATTGTTTTTCATTCCTCTTGGTTTTTTACAACAGGAAATATTAAATGTCCAGAAAAGTATCATGCTATAACCCAAATTGCCTTTTAATGATACCTGTTCCAGCACTGATAACACTGAAAATCTTTTCATTTCAGCCGCATCGTCCTATGTTCACTCACGAAAACATTCAAGGTGGGGGGGAACCGTAAGTATTCTTCTTATCTTCTAAATCAAAGACTAACCCTGACCCACAGTACGGACAACAGGCGTACCAGACAAAGGACAATAGGCCTTTGTAAGGGAAAGGGATCGAACAGTGAACATGAAGTGTCCCACACAAGAGATTGCAATGTTCTGCCTTCTCAATGAGATTGGACACTAATGCTTGAAGGAAAACAGAAGGGCTGGAGAGATGGCTCCATGGCTAAGAGCACTGGCTGCTCTTCCAAGGGACCTGGGTTCAATTCTCCACATCCACAAGGGGGGTTCACAAGCATCTATAACTCCAGTTCCAGGGGATCCAACACCCTCTCCTATCCCATCCCCATGGGTACCAGGCACTCAGAGGTGCAAATACATACAGCAAGCAAAACACTCATACACATAAAATTAATAAATAACGAAGGAAAACCTTCCAGTGTTACCGTGACTCCTACAATTTATAAATCCATCTCTTCCTTTACTGGCTGTATAACTGGTAACCACACCTTTAAAGACAGACAAACCATGCCCTAACATTGTCTTTCCACTTATTGGAATACTTCAAAAGTATACCTAAGCTCTACCTTAGTAGTATAATTCCAAAACTATGACACATGCTTCAAAATGTCTTTCAGAGATAGCAGTATTAAAGCACTCACTACTCTTCAGATACATGATAAAAATTTCCACCACACCAAGAATGTGCCTTTTCAAATGTTCCTTCTAAATTCCCTCTCCTGATACATTTGTGAAATCAACCTGCATGAATCACACATTGCCTTGAAGAGTCCCATTTGTCTTCCTCTGGCCCACTTTACAATAAGATACCCAGGGGTTATCCACTTCCTATTGGCTCCTGCCTAGGCTGAGTCCCAAGAGACCCCCGGAAGCCACCGCCACAGTCCTTGGCCTTTCTCTGTGCACCTGAGCCTTCTGCCCGAGCTCTGTTCACTTGGTGACAAACATGCTGACCCAAGACTCTTCTCTGTGGCCAGGCCCTGGTGTGGAACTGGTGTTTTCAGCACCAAGAGTCCCTCCTTGTTCTCCATGGTTAAAAACACGCCCTTCAGAACTCACCACTCTCTGAAAGTGCCTCCCACACAGTGTGGCCAGGAAGGTGTTCCAAGGAAAGTGTCTTTATCCCAAACAGACTAGGATAGAAGTAATAATCATTGAAAACCCTCACCTAATTGGAAAAACTTAAGGACGACTTGTAATAATGTTTCTGTTGCTTGTTTACATGTGCAAACAATGACAGGATTACATCATATAAAAACACACTCCAGGGTATGTAGGGTGACGACATGGCTAGCATGTTCTACTAAACAGCGTTCGAGGCATATGAACAGGAGTGCTCTGTTGTGTCCTATGCAGCCGTGGTCACTTGGCTATTCTAATATTACACAGCCCACAGGTAGGAACAATACACTTTCAAAACCTGCCTTAGATGTTATTCCTTATCAAATTTATGTTTGGTTGCTGCCTGAATTAGAGGGATTATGGAAGGTTAGCTAATTGCATACATTTAGAAAAATATTTTTGTGGAGCAAAAGTAGAAACCTAAGCTACTTTGCTATGGTTCAGTTTAAGGACAATAAAAGGTGCAGGTTATAGTTTTGAGTTTGGCTCGGCATTTCGTAAGTGACAAATTTATTTTTGAGGCAATCTTGACCCCTCCGCCACCATCATCTCACCAACTTATTTCAAAGCAGCATTTTTTTTTTATTTTAATTGGGCTGCATATCCTGTCGTGCAACACTGATTTGAAAACCAGCAGAGGTAGAAGGACTTCCAGGAAGGTTTGTTTGTGTTTCCATGAACCCTTTTTCTGTGTGATCTAATTAAACCACTATGGTAAATAAATTCTGACATGAGTGCTTGGCTTTCCTTATATAAAAATAAGCTGGAAGTCCATGCCAACTCTGGTTTATTAGCTCTGAGGATCCTGAGAGTCTTCAAGCAGCTGGAGTCTGTGGCCTTAAATAGACCTGTAAGTGGTTGGAGTTATGCCTCAGTAAGGTTAGAGCCTGAGAAGCTCAATGAGAGACTCTGCTTTCCCAAAGCAACTGCAGAGTACATCCGTCAACACAGCAGCCAGGGATGACCATGTCCCTCAAGCTTGAGAATGGACAAAGAGCCTCGCTGAAATCCCCTTGCCCTGTGAACATCCAAAATCACATCATTCTATCACCAACAGCCTCAGATGCTAACCAACATGCAAACAACAAAATGGTTTTCCTCTTCTCCTAAGGCCGGACCCAGGCAAACATCCTAGTGAGGTGGCCCCTGCCCGTCTCGCTTGGCACCCCTTCTAGGGTCTGGCTCTGTTTCTATCCATGACCGGAAGCTGAAGCCCCTCCCAACAAAAGATGTCAGAGGACTTGAAAGGGCTCAAAGAATATCAACAGCTAAAATTGCCCACTAGAAAGGAACATTATTAACTAGGGAAGAAATCTCTAATGTGGGGATTTCAGGGGTGGGTGCCAGGCTAGGGAAGATGATGGTTTTTATAGAAAGGCAAAGCTCTTTCATACAACTCCCTGAAGCCAATTTTATCTACATCCCATGATCAGGAGACAAAAAACAGAGAGGGAACCAGTGAAGCTGTTGCACATTTATAGCACGATGTTTCAATTCAAGTACCAGAATAGCCTTAGTCTACCAAAATACGATTGTTCTGACTTGATAAAGTAATCAGAAATAAAGCATTCTTGTTCCAAAGTAGAATTCAGTGTCATCTACTTTTTAACAGTGGCCTAAAATCTAAAGGGCCTCCAGAATATTGTTGTTGTTTTCTTACATTAGCACAATTATATGACAATTATAAAAAGCAATGGAAACAAATTTATCAGTCTTTTTAATCCTCTGATCATACTAGTGACAAATAAGTGATATCATGAAAAATTCCCACTGACTACATATCAAATTCTTTCCAGCCTTCTTAGCCTCTAAAATGACAGTCTTTACTTTTCCAAGGACTGGTCCATGCTAATAGTCACGAGATTTAATAGTCATAAAAGTCAACGCCAAATATATCCAGTATTCAAACACATGATAGATAAATGTCATCATCTCTCTATCAAAGAGTTCAGACAAGAAAAACAAGGTGGTGGCATTCTTTCCGTAATTCTCTCTCACACATGATTATTTCAAAGATTTTTTAATGCAAGCACAGTTTTTTTCCTGGACACATTTTTAAAAGTCCAGGATCTGCTGACTGAGCTAGGCCAGGGATGGCCATGCATAAAGCCTCACCTATGATTCAAGGTCATAGGTGAGTTGCATGAAATCTTCACATTTCAAATCCTGATTCAGATTATAAAACTAATCTTCCTTAAAGGGTTTCCTATGATAAATACATAGTCTTCCTTTTCTAATAATTCCCACATCATTTACAAAATGTGTGTCTGAAGCATTTTGAACAACTCAATTTAGAAC